ACTCCCTTTGTTCTGTGTTCATCAAGCAACCCCTTCCATATTTGTTTTTTGTTTGTTTGTTTGTTTTTGTTTTTGTTTTTTTTTTGAGACGGAGTTTTGCTCGTTACCCAGGCTGGAGTGCAATGGCGCAATCTCGGCTCACCGCAACCTCTGCCTCCTGGGCTCAGGCAATTCTCCTGCCTCAGCCTCCTGAGTAGCTGGGATTACAGGCACGTGCCACCATGCCCAGCTAATTTTTTGTATTTTTAGTAGAGACAGGGTTTCACCATGTTGACCAGGATGGTCTCGATCTCCTGACCTCGTGATCCACCCGCCTCAGCCTCCCAAAGTGCTGGGATTACAGGCTTGAGCCACCGCGCCCGGCCCTCTTCCATATTTGACATTACATTTTGCCTTTAAAGAGAGAGAAAGTGCTGGTCACAAAGACATAAATGTTCTGGTATTTTGGTCAGCATGATTGTTTTTTGTTCACTTATAAGTTAATAAACTAGCATTTAGTTTTGTCATATCAATTTCATAAATTCGGTTCATGTAAATCTCCCCTAAATGATGTATCTATTTCATGCTATGATGAAAATCAGGTTCTGGGCTTCCAAAATCCAAAGTCAGACCCAGGGCCACGACAGATTCTACAAAATCAATATTATCTGTATCTGTAAGGCCTTGAAGTATATATTTTGCCTGGATGAAAGAACTTTATATTACCTCATAAGCTCACCCCCACCACACATACACTCCTTTATTTACTATCTTTTGCTATTTAATAAATTGCTCTTAAATTTAGCAGCTTAAAACAACAAATATTTATTATTGTATGGTTCTGTGGGTGGGAAATTTAGAAGTGGCTTAGCTGAGTGATTTTGACTCCAGGTCTTTCACAATGCTGAAATCAAGAGGTTGGCTGGGGCCAGGGTCAACTCAAGGCTCAACCAAGGGAAGATCTGCTCCCCACCTCATTCCTGTGGCTAGAATCAGCCCCCAGGTCCTTGCTGGCTCTTGGCTGGGGACATTGGTTCCTTGCCACATGGGCCTTTCCATAGGGCAGCTCATAAAAGGAACCTGGATTCTCTCAGAATGAGCCAGCAGTAGAACAAGAGGGTGAACAAGGCAGAAATCACAGTCTCACAGTCTTTTTGTTACCTAATCTCACAATCAACATGCCATCACTGTTACCGTATTCTATTCATTAGAAACAAGTCACTACATCCAGCTCACATTCAAGTGGAATGGACCCCAAGGCCATAAGTATGAGGAGGTGGGGAATATTGGAGGCCATCTTACAAGCCGCCTGCCACAAAATCATTTTCACATTCAAATATAGAAAAGCATAATATTTCTCTTCTAAAAGCTAGCCAGTATTTCATTGCAATGACTATTAAACAATGCCATAACAGTTCATATTTGCTAATCTGTTCCATTGCTTCACAGAGGAGCAAACCTGGAAAAAAGGAACAAGAAAAAATATGTTGTTGACACAGGAAAAACAAAGTAGGAATAAAAGTTAAAAACTTAAAACAATTACACATGTGTATGAGAATTTATGATACAGGCAAACTGGCATTTAAAATCAATGTGGAGGACGTGTGCGGTGGTTCACGACTGTAATCCCAGCACTTTGGGAGGCTGAGGCACAGAATCGCTTGAACCTGGGAGGCAGAGGTTGCAATGAGCTGAGACTGCACCGCTGCACTCTACCCTGGGTGACAGAGCGAGACTCTGTCTCAAATAATAGTAAAAATAAAATAAATGTGGAAAGGATGGACTACTCAATAAATGATGTTCAGACGATTAGATACCTGGTGGAAAAAAATATGGATTAATCCATACTTTGCAAGTTTGGAAAATCAGTATCTTACATTTCTATCTACTTGATGTGCATAAAGAACTTCTGGAAGAATATATATATATATATATATATATATTTAAATATATGTATATCCCACACATGAAAGAACTTAACTTCCATGGGATGGAAAAGGCTTAGAGAAAGAAGAAACAAGGTTGGAGCTAGCACTTTCACTGTATGCATTTTTGTATTGTTTGACTATGAACCTTATAATTATCTATTCTAGGAATTGAATTTTGAAAAATGAAAACTTTTGAATGGAATAAAGAAATAACTATAAAAGAAAAACATGCAAGACATTATAATAAAAAATAAATTGTATGTCTTCTTAAATAGGATGAAAACACCCCAAAGCCATAAAAAGAGAGATTAAGTTTCACATTACTACCACTGAAATCTTCTACATGAAAAACATATCATAAACAAATTTAAAATGCTAGTGATTGCCGGGCGCGATGGCTCATGCCTGTAATCCCAACAATTTGGGAGGCCAAGGTGGGCAGATCATCTGTGATCAGGAGTTTGAGACCAGCCTCATCAAAATGATGAAACCCCATCTGGACCAAATATACAGAAATTAGCCAGGCATGGTGACACACACCTGTAATCCCAGCTACTCAGGAGGCTGAGGCAGGAGAATCACTTGAACGCGGGAGGTGGAGGTATCAGTGAGCCGAGATCGCACCACTGCACACCAGCCTGGACGACACAGAGAGACCCTGTCTTAAAAAATAAAATAAAAATAAATAAATAAATAAGACACGGCTGACCACCTTGGAAACATTTTATTTCAAATTGTAGAAGAGATAAATGATGAATGTTCACAAATTACAGCATTGAGTGCAAAAAAAATATTGAAAGATTGACGATGTCAAGTAGAGGAAACATAAATTATAACATTTTAACCCAGCTGCTCTACATCTTAATCACACTAAATATAAACTCACTGGGAGCTCTGGAATGTTCTAATGGATGACAGTCTTGCCAGAAGTGTTCATTCAATTGTTCAAAGAAATCTTGGGGAGAAAAAACAATATTCATTATAATGGGAAAGACTAACCAGAATCTGGCAATTCAGTAATACATAAAACTGTGACAGAATTAATAATTAACTGGATCTAGATATCATTTTTATGACAATTATGGTGATATAAATTATGATAAAATCATAAATAACATATTTTTAATTACACCTATAAATATAAACAACCAAGGGCAAAATTGTCCATTTCTGGGAATGATTAAGCTCCTAGGCAAGACATGTACTAGGGCTTAACCTACAAATCTTTGTATTGAAATGCATTTAGAATGTTATTTTACAGTAGAAAGGCATTCCCTTTAGAGGTGCTGCCAAGGCCCACCCAACAGAGTCCTGCAACTTCTGTCTGTGCAGAGGAAAGGGCTGAGTGATAGCATCAATTCATTGTTGCTTACATGGAGTTTTTAGACTTCAAGTATTTATTAATCACAAAGTTCTATTCCCAATGCCACATTTATTTGTACATCATCTCCTACCAACTTATCTGGGGAAATATTAATATTTCTTGATACTCATTTGCAATTGGCTGTTGAGGTATACTGTGTTAATCTGGAATTCTGAAACCCAAGATTTCTTTATAAAATTTTACTTAATAAAGTCTATAAATTCTTTCTAATATAATTTCTGTTGCTTGAGGAGTTTTCTAGAAGGGTCTATAACAACATTTTTTTTCCAACATAGTAAGGTTGCAACCAGCAAACCCTTAGTGACATGCGTATCTAAAAAAATGCCAACCTAGGAGGATTCATATCAATTACGCCTACACTCTTAGAGATTGCTTCTGACATATGCTACTGTAAAAGTTGTTCCTGGACATGTAGGGTGATAGAAACCATGATGATGGGCTGCTGTGCTTCCGCCTAAGTGTGGGGCTGGAGTGTGATGTTCTGTAGTGACAGCTGCCTCTTCTTGAGCTTTCTCCTTTTTGTCAATTTATCTAATTAGATATGAGTAATTATCTTGACTGTTGTGGCTTTTTGGTTCACAGGGGTGAATCTTCATATACGGGCTGAACATCCTTTTCCTACTGATGTAAAGTACAATCTTGGACACTTATTTATTTACATAACTATTTGAGTCTTGCCTGGACTTTTGCGTATGTGTGCGATTTTAGCTTTGTCTTTTCTTATGCCAATAACATATCGGTTTATTTCATTTCTGTTTGTATTATTTTATATGGTGGTAAAATATGCATAGTATAAAATATACCACTTTAATCAGTTTTAAGTGCACATGTCAGTGACAATTCAATTGTACAACCATCACTACCACCCATCTCTAGAACTTTTTGATCATCCCCATCAAAAAATCTATAGTCATTAAATAATTCCCCATTACCCTCTCTTCCTAGCCCCTTGTAACATTTTAATCAGGGCTACCAAGAGAAGCTTGGAAGGAAATAGCAATTTGTTAAAAAAGAATCTTTTCTAATTTTGTCATCATAGCGACTGGTTTGCTATTATAAAAGTAACACATTTGAAGGAGCTGGGATTTGATTTTACCATACTTAAACGTAAATAAGCTAGCATCTTGTTTCATGAACACTGGTAGAAGACATAGACTGCTGGGTTGGAGACAAAGCACTTTATTATTCATGACCTAGTGTGAGCATCAGCATGTTTGCAAAGGTTCTCCTTGTTCCCAAGTCTCAGATGGGTGACACCACAGGCCTAGATGAATGGTGCACACATAGTAGGTTTACTTCACAGCTAAGGAGCACTGGGATTTATGGAATATGCTGCTCTTATAGCAAGCAATAAACACACCTATTCTTTGTTTCAAGTGACACAACCTCATCCTTCATGGTTGGCCACAGCAAACCCACACCTGAGAAATGTCCTGGGTAAAGAGTGCCGAGGTCCTTGCATTCTTGGTATGCCCAGCAAGACATGTCGGAGCTCAAAAAACAAACAACCATGGAGGATGTCTCCTCTAATATTTGCTATAGGAAGTGTGCATAATTATAGTAACAATACAAAATCCACTTTCTAATTGCATTACCCAGAAACTACAAGTAGTTGATTTAGTCCTACAAACTAGATCCAGAGTTGAGAGGAGCTTATGGGCAGCTGCTGTAGTCACATCTGAAGTTCAGGTGATAATATTATTTTTTCATGTCAACTGAGTAAGGCGCCAATGTAGTAATAAGGTTAGAGGGAGGAACACCTTACACGGGAGTGTGAAAACCCAATCATCATGCTTATGAATCGTAAAAGGATTTGGGTGATATTTCTGAAGAAAATGTTCCTGTTAGGACAGCTGAAGTTCCTCACATACCTTTGAGCTCACTACTTGGGGTTGAGATTAGTCTTTCAGGTTGAAGTCACTAAAGAACCCATTGTCCTTTTCCCTAAATTTCAAGGACTGTCCTTCAGATGTGTCAGAGATAGCATTGTCTGTGAATATAGTGAGGGCTTCCTTGCATAGCTGGTCTAAGATTGTCTGCTTCTAAGCCTTTGCCTCTTCCCAAGCATGTAGTCAAATCTGAGCCGGTCACAACAAAACAGGTTAGAATAAGGCTTTATCGCCACAGCAGGCTATCTATCCACCTTTTTTTTTTTTTTTTTTTTTTTGGATGGCATCATGCTCTGTCCCCCAGACTGGAGTACCGTAGAGCAATCTCGGTTCACTACAATCTCTGCCTCCTGGACTCAAGCGATTCTCCCACCTCAGCTTCCCGAGTAGCTGAGAGTACAGGCACCTGCCACCACGCCCAGCTAATTTTTGTATTTTTAGTAGAAATGGGATTTTGCCATTTGGCAAGGCTGGTCTCAAACTCCTGCTCTCAAGTGATCTGTCTGCCTTGGCGTCCCAATGTGTTGGGATTACGAGAGTGAGCCACTGTGCCTGGCCTCTACCTTCAATTCTGAGCCCAGAAAACTCCCTGTTCCTCAAGCTTTGAGGCCTATTCACTTTGCTTTATCATGTGTTCATTATTAATCCTTCCTTCATTCTGTTTAGTAAATATAGTTGGAGTTACTACTAGGCTGGGAGTTCTGCTATACATGAGGGTACTTGCTGCCTGCCCTCAGGACACCAAAGCTAAGGAAATCTCATGCAAGTTTTTTTTGGATGAACTCTGGAATGTGGAATGGAAACAAACCAAGTGTTTGCTATGCTGTTAGTCAACTATGGTATGTAATTTGTGTGTGTTTTTTTTTTAAAAAAATAGCCAAATAAAACCCAATATTACCATTCAAAATTAAATTTGCAGGAAAAATAATTGCTTTATTATGTAGGATGCTTGAACATGTTTATATGCCTTGAAATTATTAGCAAAGATGCACTTGTGATTTTAAAAATGTAACAAAAAAAGAATGAAATTGTATGAGAAAACATCAACAGATCTCTTGATAGTCTTTTTAAAAACAATGAAAAGGTCCAGATTGAATAACTAACTAAAACTTAGCTCTTAGAAGCTAATGACTTAGCTTGTATTCTCTGCCTTTCCCTTGCCCAAAGGAGAAAGAACAGTCACTTAGGTGACAGCCCAGGCTAGCCATGTGTGTGCTCTCAGCATTAAAGCTCATGACTTTGGTACAAGTGAGCTGCAGGTCCAGAAATACCTCTCTAGAAATACACTTTAGAAATAATCCCCCACAGGGTAGTCATGTCACTTGTGTTAGTTGTAAAACACACCACTCACTTTTTGCTGGTGATAAAATGATTACTTCATTGACGTTTTTGGAAAAACTGCAGCAACATACTGTCTTAACAAATGCTTTGAAACAAGTTTTTTAATTTTTAAAGAAAAGTGTTTTGGACACCATTGATTAGTATTTATTTAAGAAAGTTTTATGGGCACGGTGGCTCCTACCTATAATCCCAGCAGTTTGGGAGGTCAAGGCAGGAGGATTGCCTGAGCCCCAGAATTCGAGACCAGCCTGGGAAACATTGAAAAACCCCCATCTCTACAAATCATTTTTTAAACATTAGCTGTGTATGGTGGCATGTGCCTGTGGTCTCAACTACTCAGGAGGCTGAGGCAGGAGCATTGCTTGAGCCTGGGAGTTTGAGGCTGCAGTGAGCCATGATTGTGCCACTGCACTCAAGCCTGGGTAACAGAGAAAGATTGTGTCTCAAAAAAAATAAAAAATGCCTATTAGAAGCCACTAGATTTTAGCCAATAGTATTAACATTCCTTAGGCCAGCTTATCAGAAAAGATGTGAAATGCTGCAATTGTAGGGACAGAATTTTGTAGTGAATAAACCTTTGACGTGGCAGAAATCTAAATAGTATTTGATTAAGGCTATGACCTACCCTTTCATCTACTGGGGAGACAAACCTGAGGGCCCTAGTCTGATGGGCCTTGGCACCCAACCAACCAAGGGAGTGTGTTCGAGTCAAGGCCATGCTCCAGAGAACTCTGTTACCTATTATTAATAGTTCCCAATTTATAAAAATAACACTAATTTAATAACTGTTCAAGGTCACTTTGCTCAGCCAAATGAGTGATGAGAGTTTGATTCAAACCAGGCCTATCAAATCTCTAAACCTGTGCTTTTCAGGGCCGGGAAGAGAGAAAGTTTGCTAAGGTAGAAATCAGAGGGTGGAACACCAATCCTTACCCCTTCCCTGCCCAGCTAGTGCAGCTCCGACTGAGATCACATTTGAAGAAATCCTTTTGCTGTTAAGAAGAAAAGAAAAAAAAGAAAAGAAGGGAAAAAAAAAGGAAAGAAAAGAAAGGAAAAATTCTAGCCTTGCACTACTCTGAGATATTTTGAGGCTGAATTAAATAAAACGAGATGTTAATTTATTATCAAAATTCTCAGCCTATAACACTGGTTCTCAAATCCTGTGTACTTAAGAATTCGCTTGAGTGCTTGTTTAACCTGGAGAGTCTTAGGCTCCACCCTTAGTGATTGGATTGAATAGATCTGGTCTGGGGCGAAGCACAGGAATTTGCAATTTTAACAGGTGTCCCAGGAGAATTGGATGCAGGTGGTGAGAGAACCTCATTTTGAAAAACTGAACAAAGATGTTTTGGAAAAAAAAAAAAATGAGAGTGAGCTCCAGAAGTGCTCACCCATTTGGCATATGTGCTACTCCCTTTTGAAAGCCTTCTGTGAATGACTCAGCAAGGCCTGTCTTAAATTGTGGGTCTCTTTCCTGGTTTGACAATAGAGAGTAGTTATCATCATGGAAAGGAGAAAGTGAGTTTTAGGATGCCATCCTTCACTTGTAAGGGAGGCCACTGAAGAGGGGAAAAGAGGGAAAAGCTCCAACGTGATCTGAAGCCAGCAGAAGAACACATGAGCAGAAACAAAAGAAACGAACAGAGAAATTTTCCTCCCTGAACAATAGTGGGTAGAATTTCTTAGGAACTCAGAGGCAGGGGCACGTTGCTACCCTGTAAATCGTGGCCTGACAGCCAGTAACAGGCCAGTCCCTTTCAGCAGAGAGAAGTGTTCGGAGAACAGTTCCTGCTTGTACTCAACATCACGACCCCGGCAAGGCTTCACAACAAGAATATGAGCTCCTGGAAGCATCAGAGATGAGGTTGGTGGCAGCCCAGATTTTTGTCGCAGAAGCAGCTAGATGCAGTAGCCTGTAGGAAGAGGGAGGGTGAAGATAAATTTGCTGAGGATTTCATATAACACTGAACACATCATAGTCCATATCAAGCTCATATATTTGATGACACAAATGAGATCTGGTAGTTGTGGCCATCCATGCACGTGTGATAGAACTGGATGATTAGTTGGTTTCACTGTCTTTTCTACTCCCTGCTGTTTTCCCTAGGAGAGACATGGGTTATGAAGGCTCCAGCATTACTGAATTTGTACTCAGCTTGCCAAGGTTTGGTTCAGCTCCACATCAGGGAGGGCGCACATGGAGAGTCAAGGTCAGCCTGGACTGTCTGCATGCTGGATCCTCAAGGTCCCAGGCAAACTGCACTGGAGAACCATGGCTGGTTCAGGAACCAGGGGTCTGTGTATGTTGCTGGAGCATTTCCCTCAGATGCTACAAATCCATGTGAACAGGTAGGCCGTGAACATGAACATCTAAGCCTGCCTGTTCCCTGTCTCTTGTGTATGAGTTTTTTCCATACCCGTTCCTTACACGTCCAGAGGCTCTTGGTTTGCTGGGCATCCCCACACGATCTCCCCACAGTGACCTCAAATTCACAATGTTCTAAACTAAATTAACATTTCTTACCTCTGCAGACCTGCTTCTGTCTTTCTTTTTTTTTTTTTTTTTTTTTTTTTTTTTGAGGCTGTTTTTCTTTGCTTCTTTCTTTCTATCTTGGATGAGACAGCCACTCAGCTGTGCATACCACATCCTTGCGAATCCTCATTGACTCCTCCCTCTTGTTTACCCTGATCATCCAGCTGAGACCAAGTCCTGTGGAGTCTACCCCATAAATAATCCTAATACCCATTCTCTCCCCTGGAGCCTTTGCCACTCCCAAAGAACGTGTTCTTGGCATTTTCAGAAGGACAATTGTGCATTTGTGCAAAATGTTTCTAACATTGCATTTTTTTCTTTTAGACAGAGTCTCCCTCTGTGAAGGCTGGAGTGCAATGTGCAGTAGCACGATCTGTCACCCAGCCTGGAGTGCAGTGGCATGATCTTAGCTCACTGCAACCTCTGCCTCCCTAGGTGCAAGCAATTCTCGTGCCCTAGCCTCGCATATAGCTGGGACTACAGGCGCATGCCATTACGCCAAGCTAATTTTTGTATTTTTAGTAGTGACAGGGTTTCACCAGGTTGGTCAGGCTGGTTTTGAACTCCTGACCTCAAGCAGTCCAGCAAAAGTGGACTCGGCCTCCGAAAGTACTGGGGTTACAGACATGAGCCACTGAGCCCTGGCCTTGTATGATTTTTTGCATTTGTGGCCTGAATGTTGAAAATGTTGGTAGTGCCACCATAGTGCTGGAACTTAACTCCTTTCTAGCACCACTTGTGGAAGGAGTGGTGCTCTGAATTAAGCTCCCCTCAGGGATGTGAAGGAACAAATTAGAGTCACAGGAGCCATTGGATGATCTGAGCATCTGAAGGCAGAAGCATGTGCTTTAGGTGGGGCTTCTATACCCTCCTAGTGCAGGAATGCAGCTCCCACAGGGAGCTTTGATGCAGCACACATTGTATCTTTACCCCATACCCTGTCATCCTTCAGTTGTATCTTCTGTCACTTTTATTTTCTTCTAATTCTATGCACTACCAGGAAACTGATTTCACTTGTTATATCCTCCAAATATCATGTAAATGCCAATT